AAAAAAAAAAAAAAAAAAAGAGAGAGAGAGAGATCTTTTACTTAAACCCATTCATTCATTCATTCGCTTACTGATTCCAATATTATTGAACACTTACTATATATCAGGGGATAACTCAGTGGTGAGCAAGACAGGCCCTGTTCACCCTGAACTCTGCAGCCAGGGGAGGCAGAGAAACAAGTAAGGGGATGTTGACAATGCCTAAGGGCGAGGGAAGTGTGGAGTGCTGCTGGGAGCACAGAGGGGGCACCTCACTTGGTCTTGGGAGCCAAGGCTGCTCCCCAGAGGAAGTCACACCTATGTCAAGTCTTAAGGGAAGGAAAGAAGGCAGCCAGGTGGAGGAAGAGGCTAGGAAGCGTGGATCAGTCAGGAAGGCACATGCCAAGGCCTGGAGCTGAAAGAAAGTACTTGCGATGGGCTTAGGTGAGTGACTTGTGTTGTAGAGGGTTGTAGAGATGAGCTGCTGGAAAGGTGAAGCCGAGGGCCACCAGGCATCATGTGGGTGAAGGACCCCATACAGTGTGTGGGCTTAACACAGTTGCCGCTAGACCAACATGAGGTTGAACTGCACAGGTCCCCTCATATACGGGTTTTCTTCCGCTGCTACCACCCCGGAGACAGCAAGGCCAACTCCTTCTCTTCCTCAGCATACTCATTATAAAGATAAAAAGGATGAAGACCTTTATAATAATCCACTTCCACTTAATAAACAGTGAACATGTTTTCACTCACTTGTGATTTTCTTTCTTTTTTTTTTTAAGAGTCAGAGTCTCATATTATCGCCCTCGGTAGAGTGTCGCAGTGTCACAGCTTGCAGCAACCTCCAACTCCTGGGCTTAGGCGATTCTCTTGCCTCAGCCTCCTGAGTAGCTGGGACTACAGACACCTGCCAGAATGCCCGGCTATTTTTTTTTGCAGTTTGGCCGTGGCCAGGTTCAAACCTGCCACCCTCAGTATATGGGGCCGGCGCCGTACTCACTAAGATGCAGGTGGCGCCATGACTTGTGATTTTCTTAATAACATTTCTTTTCTCTAGCTTACTTTATTGTAATATTGTTATACATAATTTGTATAACAAATTTTGCAGAACTATGCCTTAAGGTATAGCAGTTTATGTGTTAACTGTTTACGAGGTCTGACAATTAAGTTCTTGAACTTGCCACTGGGCACTTACATTGGCAGCACTATACAAACAACTCAGTAAGGTTTTATAACCTTGGTAACCAGTGTCTCAGAGTTTCGTTTGTGTTGACATGTGGCAGTGCCTTGCTGAATGGCGTTCATTTTTGTTGCATGTTTTTTGTGTGCCATACAATGAGTGCTGGGGACCATTCCAGAAAAAGAGTTCCAAAATTGCTTTGAAGGGTGAGCTAGGGGCTGGCATCAGTCCACAGCTTTCTAAGGGGAGTACTTGAAAGGTGACCTTAGTGATGAGGTACAGAGCACTTTCTCTCAGATGAGTTCACAAACTTCATTGTCAGACCTTGTATGTTATCCATAATGCTTCTTCTGGCCAAAGGTAGGCAGTAAGCAGTTAAATTTGGGGTGGTCGAAAGTTATACACGGGTTTTTAACTGCACCAAGGTCAGTGTCCTTAACCCTCATGTTGTCCAACAGTCAACCGTACAGGGTCCTGAGGGAAATCCTGGTGGCTTTGAAGTTGGAGAAAGACTCATCTGAAGACAGAAGAATCTGTTTTTTCCTTGGATGAGGCACCCAGCAGAAGATCATGTAATACCAACATTTTTTGAGTGCTGTCTGAGTGCTGGATACTGTTCTAGTGCTTCATACTTATTATTATTTCCGTTAATCCTCAGAACAGCCTCCCCAGAGGAGTAAGGAGGAAACTGAGGCCGAGAGAGAAACTTGGCAAGGCCTTGAAGTGGGTGGCAGAATGCAAATCTAAGTTTGAAACATCACCCCTGCTATTCACAGTGTGGCCCACGGAGCAGCAGCTGCATAATGTGGGAGCTTGTTAGAAATGCAGAATCTCTCCTTATTCCAGAACTTCTGGATCACAATACTCATTTTAACAGGATCCCAGAGTGATTCCAGTGCACACTAAAGGCTGGGTGGTATAGAGGGTGGTTCCCAAGACTGGCTGCACTTTAGAATCACTTCTGGAATTTTGAAATTCCTTAGTGCCCAGGCTGTATCCCTAGATCAATTACATCAGAATTTCTGGGGCTGTGACCCAGGCATCAGGATTTTTCAAAATTATCCAGTTGAATCCTTGCATTATGCTGCCCTGTTGCCCAGGAAGACAGGGTACCTCCAGCAAGAAGAACTGCAGTTGCAGGGCCTAGGCAGATACCAGCAGCTCTGCAGCTTTAAGAACTGGGGCAGGCTGCCACGTTGTTGCAAGAGCCACGTGAGCACAGGCTGTGGGAACAGTGAGCTCCCAGCAGCTCTGCAGCTTTAAGAACTGGGGCAGGCTCCCTCCTTGCTGCAAGGGCCATGTGAGCACAGGCTGTGGGAGCAGGAAGCTGCCACAGGCAGGGCCTGGGGCTGGCCCAGGCTTGCAGACCCCAAGCCCTTGCAGAATAACCCTTGAAAGAAAGGGGACCTTTATGCCTTTTTAAGCGAAGCACACATTTTGCAAGGCTGTGGAAACAAAGAGAACAGCGTGCAGCCCTAGTCCAGACGCCCAAATAAACAGTAAGTCAGGAGGAAGGGGAAATCGGCACAGCCCCTCTCTCTGCTCCAGGTGACACACCCGACTTTGGCAAGCCTGCCCCACCAGAGGAGCCCCCCAAAAGGGCTGGCAGGGTAACACCAATTAGCAGGGCAGAAAATTTCCCGAAATTCTCCTCTGGGACCCATCTGGCCCTCCCCTTGAAAAGTTGGGGCTCAGCTCCAACAGGTAGCGCCTGCTGACTGTCATAATCCATCAGGCGTGGATAGTGCTTCTCCTCCTTTCTCCTCTCACCCCTAGGGCCTTTGATCCAACCCCAAGGTCGTGTGAAAGTGAAAGTGAAGGTGAAAGAAGCTGTAGGCCCTTGAGCCACAGGCTTGCTGGGGATAAAGTGATGGCACTAATGGCCCATACTAGGGGTGGCAATGGGGGCAAGGGACCCCAGGCTGCAGCAGAGGAGAGCTACCAGCTGGTTGGAGTTTCCTGGATACCTACAGGGCTCCAAGGTCTCTCTGTGCTTTTGAGAAATGAGAGGTGGAGGTGTGGCATCAGCCAGGCTGGTTACCCACATGTGGACTGGAGCAGAGCTCTGTAAATCCTCTCCAAGGCTGTCTCCAAGCTGTGAGTTAGCATGTCTCAGAGTCCCTTCGGGGTGCCAGCACCAGGGTGGCACAGGCGACCGCAGCAGCATGCTTCAGACCTGTGTGCTGCCCAATGCTAAAGGCACAGCCAGGTGACTTTGAGGGTCTCTTCTCTAGGATTATCTGTGTTTCCCTGCCACCCTCCTGTGTTATGGATGATTGAGAGCTAACACGTTTTATAAGAACCATGCGGAATTGCAAAGGTTATCAGTGTGCTGGGGGCAGGCAGCAGGGTGAGCTTATGTTGGCAGAAAGAAAAATGTTGGCATTGATTGGCAGGAAGGGGAGGGAAACTGCTTTGTGCCTTCAAGGCAACTGGGTACAAGTGAAAAGGAAGGGAAGGAGGGGTGGGGAGTGGGAAGAAAAGGGAAAGCTGCTTCACCTAAGGGGTGGAGTGAAGCTGGGGAAGGAGAAGGGAAAGGTGGTGAGGGGCAAGGCAGGGCCAGACAGGCCAGGGCGAAGTTAGCTGCAGAAGGCTACGTTGTGGCTTTTACATAATTATGAGGAAGGCTCTCAGGGAGTCAGATGTTACTTCCAGCGCCAATGCTAGGCCAACTGGTGGCCCCTCACATGTTCTATTCCTAAATATGAACATTCCTGGAAAACTGGGAAATTCACCCGTAAATGTGAAAGGTCTGGCAACATGGGGCTCACTTTTTAGCAGAGCAAGTTGAAGCTGGAGCTGCTGGTTTGCCAAGGTCCCCACCTCTCTTGCACTGAAAGCATTTGCACCCCTTGGCCCACTGCCACCTCTGTATTTGCCTGATTCTCATGGGCATTGCAGATTGCTGTTGTTGCTGTCTTGATAATAACGGGTGTCTTCTCTTGAGAGCCTGTGTGTGTGTGCACACACCAGGTGTGCAGGTATTTTAATTTCACTTAATATCTCTCTTTTTCAGTTAAGCATGACAGATGCACAAAACCAAATGTACCCCTCTCTTTGACAGATTTCCCAGCCTTTCCAGGAGATGTGCCAAATTGCTAGATGGTATTTGCATTAAAAACAACAGAAAAAAGTGCATTTTGTTATTTTGGCTTTAAGGATTTCCCAACTTGCCTTGAGGAAATATTTCACTTATGCCACATGTTATAGCTTTCAAAGCTTTCTTAAACATGCTTGAATTGCTTTAATCTTCCAGAAACTTCATGAGGTCTGTAGATTGGGTCTCCTTCCCATGTTCTCTTGGAAGAAACTGAGTGATAGAGAAGCTAAATGATTTGTTTTGAACTTTTAGTAACTTCGAAGTTAAGCATTCAGGCACGGCTCTCTGGAAAACTTTGCAGTGTCTTTTTGACTGCATAGAGTTGTAAAAAGTTGTGCTTTGTAAAGCAGAATGACTGAGACTATGATCTCAAACCTATATTTGTCTACTGAGTACCAATGAGTCTTTAGGCAAAGAACTAAATCTTCTTGCATTTTCTTTTCTATAAAATAGGGACAACAGCTCTCATCTAGGGAGTTTTGTGTGGATTAAATAAGAAAGTACATGTAAAGTTTTTAGAACAATGCCCAGTACACAGTAAGCTTTCAATAAATATTACTATCAGTACTAAAATTATTATCTATCTTAGGGCAAAGGTTAAATTGTAACAAAAATATACTAAAATATATTTGCTCAAAAGACAAGTAAACAACTCTGCTCTACAGGATCATTCAGGAACCCAGGTTCCTTCCATCTTCTTGCTCTCTCTTCTGCATAGTCAAAGCTGTCTCAACATGACCTTCTGTTCCTGGCTGTAGGAAGGAAAAGCAAGGAGTTGGAGGGCAGACAGCCCCCTTCTAAACAATATAATTCAGAAGTTGTACATATGCTTTATTCATATTCTCCGACCTACTCTGTTCTCCTGACCAAACTACCCAGGCTAAAGTCATTAAAGACAGCCATACTCCAAATCAAGCTATGCTTTTCTTTTTGATCTGAACTTGTGTTTCTGGACCTTTAGTCCTGTGGCACAAGTGCCCCCATACCTTGATCTTCTATCTTGCTGTAGCACTACTCTTTCTAGTTTTCTACCTTGCTTTGATGGACATTTTTCCCCATTGGCTCCATAGAAACCTCTTGTTTCATGTACTCCTTAAATGTCCCCTGGGTCTCTGTGTCCTGCCCCCTGCCCTTCTTGCCCTCTGCTGTCCCCATCAGTGTCCCTAGCCACTTATAAGCTGATGGCTTCCAGCTCTCCCTCGTCCCTGCATATTTCCCCCCTCCCATAACTGGGGCTGAGTGTTCACTCTGTCAGGGACCTCTGCTTGGAGCTGCCTCTTAGCCCCACCTACTTGGCAGTCTAATGCCAAGCTACTCATCAGTCTCTCTTTGTAATGCCTCTTTCTGTTAATATCACAGTTAGCCAGTTAGTTGTCCATGCCAGAAAAAAGAAATCCAGTAATCATTTTGAATCCCTCCCTCTCATTGCATCTTTTGTATTCAATCAGGTATCATGTCCTGGTAAGTTTACCACTTCCAATTCCTTGAATTCTCCCCTTTCTTTCATTCGCCTACCCCTGGGGACAGCTTTGATTGCCTCCTTCTCCACCTTCATCTTCCACCCAAATATTGCCAAGGTCATCCTTCCAATGCTGTCTGCTCAGGGCTTCCTCCCACTCCTTGGGCTCCCAAAGCTCTCAGATGGAGTTCATATTCCTTCAGTTGAATCACATGACCCTTCCTAATCAATTTTTTTTTTTTGAGACAGAGTCTCACTTTGTCACCTTGTGTAGAGTGCCGTGGCATCATCACAGGTGGGAGCAACCCAAATGTCCACTGATGGATAGAAGGATAAACAGAATGTGATATATGCATTGGAAGCTGTTTTATGACATCCCCACATATGTGGTATATACAGATAGTGGAATATTATTCAGCCTTTAAAAGGAAGAAAATTGTGACACATTGTATTTTTTATTTTATTTTTTAAAAATTATTATTATTATTTTAAGACAGATTCTCATTCTGTGGCCCTGGGTACAGTGCCACTGGCATCATAATAGGCTCATAGCAACCTCAGTCTCTTGAACTCAAGAGATCCTCTTGCCTCAGCTTCCCCAGTAGCTGAGACTAGAGGTGCCTACCACAATACCCAGCTAGTTTTTATATTTTTAGTAGAGTCAATGTCTCGGTCTTACCCAGGCTGGCTGATCAATTTCTTGTCTATCTTCCCAGTCTTTCTGCATCTTTACTCCAGGTATACTGATGGACACTCAAGTTCATGCCTATAGCACCCTCTTCAACCTTCTACCTCTAGGTGCTAATTTCCAGTTGTTCATCAACACTTAGCTCATGCAGCACCTCCTAGACCACTTAGCTGTTGCAGGAAGACAAGGCCTAATAGAGAGAACTAACACCCAAACACTGTGTTTAAAAGAGGAAGAGTTATTTCAGTTTGTGGAGCTACAGCACAGAAGAATTCAAAATGGCCACTCTCCCCAACTGGCTCAGTCTTCTTCTTTTAATCCCCAGTCAAAAAGTTCCAGCCCATGGCTAACTTTCCCCCGGTCAGTTTGAATCAAACTGGAGAAGTTGGCTTCAGCTTTTATAGAACCTGCGGGCTTTTACAGAAGTGGAAGCAAGTGGTAGTTTCCAGGTCCCAGGAAGTTAAGTGTCTATAAATTTATTTATGTATTCATTTTTGGGGGGGGGGAGATAGAGTCTCACTATGTCACCCTTGGTAGAGTGCTGTGGCATCACATTTCACAGCACTCTCAAACACTTTGGGCTTAATCTTGCCTTAGCCTCCCAAGTACCTGGGACTACAGGCACCTCCCACAACACCGGCTATTGTTTTGTTGCAGTTGTCATTTTTGTTTAGCTGGCCTGGGCTGGGTTCAAACCCACCAGCCTCGGTGCATGTGGCTGGCACTGTAACCACTATACTATAGGCACCGAGCCCCATCTACAAATTTCTAAGAGCTGAGTCACCACGGGGAGGACCTCTCAGGTGTATCCTTGGAGTCTCCTTGAGAAGACCTCTGTTCTCTTAGACTTTACTTTTTCTGGGTATCCTCTCTCATTCCCCCCTTTTGAAACTCCATATATATATTTTATTTTATTTATTATTATTATTTTTGAGACAGAGTTTCACTATGTCACCCTCAGTAGAGTGCTGTGGTGTCACAGCTCACAGCAACCTCAAACTCTTTGGCTTAAGTGATTCTCTTGCTTCAGCCTCCAGGTAGCTGGAACTACAGGCACCTGCCACAACACCCGGCTATTTTTTTTTTTTTTTTTTTGGTTGTTGTTGTTTTGGCCTGTTGTAGCAGGCCCGGGCAGGGTTCAAACACACCAGCCCTCATGCATGTGGCCGGCACTCTAACCACTGAGCTACAGGAGCCAAACCTCCCTATATATTTTAATTTGGGGTCTCACTATCAGCTTGCTCCTGCAGGA